GAAAAAATACCTAGAAGCCGACTCGGATGATAACTTGAGTTCTTTGACCACGAACAGTTCTTGTTCCAATCTTTGTGTTTAGAAAACTAATGTCTTCCACGTCAATTCCTCGAATCCACGAAGACGTGTGTGTGGGCACACATGAGACAAAACAGGTTCTAATAAACACTCGAATTTCCACAAACACCAACGCATGCACGATGTGGAATTTTTGGAGAAAAAAAATTTTCTTTCTCTCTCTCTTGAGAATTTCGGCCAGCCTTTAAAATTAGGATAAAAAACCATTCCGAAAATTGTCTCAAAAATAGTATTTATAGAGTAGAAGTCAAACTTCTAGAAAGAATCCAATCTCTATTTCCAATTTGAATTTCGAACCAAAATTCTCCTCTATCCCTTATCCCTTGTGGCCGGCCATGCTAGGGATTCCTATCCCTATGTGTGGCGCCAATACTGGATAGGGAAGGAAGAGAAAATCATCCTTTATCCTGTAGTCTAATTTTATTTCAAATTTGAATTTAAGTTAAACTTAAATTAATTTGAATTTATAAATTGAACAACTTATCAAATAAGTTTAAATGGATAAATCTAGATGTGTTCAAATTCAAATTTAAATAATCACATTATTTAAATAATAATTAATTCTCAATTAATTATTTTTGAGTATTTAATTTTAGAATTCCGTAATTCTAAAATTCCCATTTTGCCCTCTGTGTCTGGCAGAATTACTAGGACGACACGGGGACTAATGGACCTATAATCCCGAGCTCCAATAAAATTAATAATCAATTAAACACTTTAATTAATTAATTAATTCTATTAATTCTAATAGTTACTCCACTATAAACTTGGAATTGCACTCTCGAAATTATAGATATAAATTACTTCTAAACTGTGAAGTGTCCATTTGATATAGTCATTGCATATAGATTAATCCTCCATAAATAATTCATAATTAGAGCAAGGTAAAATCCGTTAACCTCTCTAATTACTTATCTATCCTTGAGTACCATTGATTCTTTAATGGACAGTGATTCATAAAACACATTCATGAATCGGAGCTCCTACTGGTCAAAAATACCAAATCAACCCTCAAGAGAATTATTTATCTACTTCTTTCTTAAGAAGGAATGGATTCCATCTCGTGTAATAACATTCCCAGCTACCTCCTTCACCATGTCTCTAAAATACAAGG